TTTAGATCCATAAATTCCATGGTTTATGGGAAAACTGAACCCAAGTGCCTCCTCCTGCTGACTCCAAGGCTGCTGCCTGCTGCTTCCACCCAACATCCCCACATGCTGACCACATAGACAGGTTTTCCACCACCCACATCCTGCTTCAGGCCCAAATCAGCAAGAAAAAAGGTGAGAAGAGTTGCTCTGATGTCTAAAACAGCGCATTTAAGAGCAGACACCAGAACTGGGTCTCTCAGGTAAATGCTGTCATAATGCTTAGGGATGCTTCTTTTCTCCCACACCCAGTGAATGTTGAAACATTTTGGTATATGGTGTAGGAACTAAGGCGATCCCACACCCCAGTGATGAGAACTGGCTCTGTGGTTGAATCTGCAGTGCCAAATGAGCCAGGGGATGTTCTTAAAACAGAGTGCTCAGGGCTTAAGAAGGGGACACTGACATTTCCACCCGCTGGGGAATATCTCACTGGGGAGTTCCCCTGAGATGAGCACGTGGAAGTGCCCTGAGATGTGGCTGGGAGGCCCTGGCCTAACCCAGGATGCAGGAGCATCACCCAAACAGCTGGGAATCACCCAGCTCCACCATTGCTTCTCTCAGCCTCTGTACCCCATCTTGGCAAGGGGGATGCATGTCCTTCCCCAGCCCCACATGCCATCTATGCTCACCATGATGTGCTACCACCAAATTCCTGAGGTCAGCATCAACTCTGCACTAAGCCATGCCAAGGCGTCAGATGGAAGCAGCTTTTAAAACACGCAGCACTCTTGTTTACTGGAAAAAAAGTGGCTCAGATCAGCAGAAAAACACACATTTGCATTTCAGTGACAGCTTCAGCCATTTATACCCTGCAACACAAAAGGCATCAGTGTGAAAGACTCTTTTCTTCAGCTCCCCCACACTCCCCAAGCTCAGCTCCCCCACTTTGGCAGCCTTCAAATAAAGGACAAGCCAAGACCAGGGAAAAGAAGGAGGAAAAAAAACAAGAGAAAAAAAATCAAAACCAACATAGGCCCTGATAAAACCTTCCTGATCGTTGCCTGCTATTCAAGTGAGAGCTCCCACACAGGAACTGCTCGCTGTTTGTCCTGACGGCTCTTGCACTGCCCAGAGGCCCCCACGGCCCCCTCCTCCCTCACTGGAGAAGCTGTACGGGCTGGGGCTGGTGGGCAGCCGGCGGTCGCTGGCCGACTGCGAGAGCCTCTCGGCCGCCGCCTTCTGCCGCCGGCGCCTGCCCTGCCTGCTGCTGAAGCTGCGCATGGCCCAGAACCTGCGCCACGCCGTCACCTTCGTGGAGCAGGGACACGTCCGCGTGGGGCCCGAGGTGGTGACCGACCCCGCGCTCCTCATCCCCCGCGCCGTGGAGGATTTCATCACCTGGGTGGACGCCTCTCGCCTCCGGCAGAAGGTCCTCGACTACAACCAGGAGCGCGACGACTTCGACCTGGCCGCCTAGGGACGTGCAGCCCCGCGGGACACGCGTGGGAACAGACACGCACGCGTACAACCGCCATCGGGTATCCACACCCCGTAACACACCTGCACGGGGAACAAGGAGGAATCCTACTCCCTTCTAGTGACGCCTTGCTCTGCTCCTCGCTCCCCTTCACAGCGAACGGCTCCATTCATCCACGCGGAGAAACTTCCCCTCCACTTCCATCGCTCAGAGGAAACGTCCCATTGCCCAGCAACATCGTCCTTGCATCCAGTAAAGCAAAAGTGCTTGGAAGGGTCTCTGCCTGATCGCAGGAGAGGTGTGGTCAGGTTTATGTACTTGGCTGCTAATAATAGCTGCTGGAAGGGGTTTTAAGCCTGGCCGAGTGGCTTAAATCTCAGGTTTAGCTTCGGTGCTGCCTTTCTGAGAGGTTGTCCCAAAAGACTGCTGGTTCCTCCTTCGGCTGATGGGTGTGCAGTAACCAGAGGAGCTGCTTTGGAAGAGTTTTCTCTTGATACCAAGAAAACTGTATATGGGGGAAATGTGGAGGTTGTTCAGGGTCAGCAGGAAACAAGGAGGCCAAGTACTGCATTTCTGGAGCAATAAAAGTTTTAGCCAAAAATGGAATTAAGAAGAAAAAAAAAAAACCAACGAACAGCCAACTCTTATTTTCATGTGAAGTCATAAAGGGAAGTTTGATACTCTTGAGTTCAGCATCTTCTCTGTGTGGGGTTCCAGCTGACAATGAGGCATTATTTATGGAGCAGGGGAGGAGTTGGAGCAAAAGCTGTCCTAATCATAACAGCAAATATGGGGGGAACTTCTGCATTTAGCACATAAGCCAAACAAAAATTGATACCTGAGGGAACCTCAGGCTTTCTGGGGCTGTTGGGGACTTTATTCCTCTTTTGAAATAAAAAGCAGAAAAGCAACAATAAAAACAGTTGTTTTCCTGAAGAAATGTTTGTGTTATTTTATGATGTAGTTTCTCTGAGAGTTTCTTCTGGTTTTTAAATATCCCAGTAAGCCCTGTTTGTCATCTTGCAGATTTTCTTTAAATGTAACTTCTTTTATGTAACTTTCTTTTTATTACTACAAGGCTATACTGAGCTATAAAGTCCTTATTGCTAGAAATGCTTTCTTTCCTTTACCCAGGGCTATGAAAGGATTTGGCAGTAGGTTTAAGAGTGGATCTGTGACTGCCTGTCGAAAGTCCAAAGGCTGGGGTTCAGCTGCAGCCACTGCTTGGGGTCTGGAAGCTTTGGTGAGGCTTTTCTGCATGGGAAAGTTATTTAGGTGAAGGGTGTTATGGGGTTATCAAGTGAGGACCAGAAACTGTCGTCAGATGTTATGGCTGTTTTTTAAAATGCAAATTAAATGTTAAAATTCCTACCAGTCTTGTAAGCCAAATGTATTAAGCAGAGCATTAACTTTTAAAGCAATAGTAGATATTACAAAACAGACACAAAAGAGGTGGGGAAACCCCTTTGCTTATCCTATGAACTACTTCTGTTTACACATGAATTTATTTCAGTAAAACATCACCTGCAATACCTTAAAAACCTTTTTTCTCAGGGTATCCACCTTGTTTATAGTAAGACATACAAATTGAAAAGATGTTTTGCAGCTGAAGCATGACTTTTCTTAAATACCTTTCCAGCTTTCATCTGGAAAAACATCATCATTCTTTGAGAAATTCAGAAGGTGCAGGTGAAAATGCTGTGTTTGCTCTGCTTCACTCTTCTGAGGGAATTTAAGTATCAGCACAGTAACATGCCCTGTGCAGGGCATTTTACTGCTCAGATGCTGAACTGCTGCTCAGCCCACTTTGTCCAGCCCTTGAAGAAACAGTGGAAAAGGAAATCTCCAACCTCCAGCCTGTTAGCCTCTACAGTTTACATCATCAACCCGTCCTAGACCAACTTTTCATCATTAATCTGTGCCCCCCCCCCCCCAGCAT